ATACATGACACAACAGTTTTGTCTCCAAAAATTGTTTATACATTACCTCATTCAATAATGATTGACTGAAATTTTTGTAATCTCCTTTCTGTGAAATATTGCTAATGGGAGCTCTAAGAAATTGTCCAAATTGCTAGGAAGAAAGCCTGGCAATTGAAGCAGAGCTTATTATCCTTTTATTACAGTCTAATATTTATTTTGACTTTTATTCTGCATTTATTATAAGTTACTCCAGGCAGTGAATATACTTAGCGCTCCTTCTTCTTCCTATTTTCTTACTACAACAACAACAATACTATAAAGTGATTTAGAGTGAGAGTGAGTGACTGGCCCAAAATCACCCAGCTGGCTTTTATGTTCAGGGCAGGACTAGAACTCAGTCTTCTAGTTTCTAGGTCAGCACCTTAACATCTCCACCAAACTGGCTCTTGATTAAGTAGAAAAAATATCATTGTTTTTATTGTTGTATGAGAAAGGCAGGACCTTAGAACAAGACTGGGTCCACGGCAAAATACTGTTGATGTAACATACCCTCCAAATTTTTGAAAAAGGCTGGAGACCCATCTTAAGCAACTTTCGGAAAAGAGATTAAACATATATCCTATTGCACAATTATCAGTCAGTTTCATAACATTCAATTAAGACCATCATAACCTTGTGCTTAACATGTTTATTGCTTCATACAGTTTCTGCATAGTTGTGATAAAATATTCAAGGATTAACTACCCCATTCTGAAAACTTTTGAAGTGTTTTGGAAGACTAAACTTTGCATTTAAAATTTAAATATGGATTTAAAGCCATATTTCCACTAGATATGGTATTATAAGATCTTCTATACATTCACCTCATTTTAGCATGAACATTATTTCTAACATGTTCACATGACACAGATTTTGTCTCATCCAAAGCCAAGGCCATTTTACTTTGGGGTTTTTTTCTGATCTACTATGGAGGTAATGTTTCTTATCTTCATCTGGTATATGCCTTGCTATTTGTATAATACATGATGCTTTAGTAGCAGACAGAAAGTTTGAACATTGGGTGTTATATAATAAAACGAAACTCAGTGATGAAAAAAGTAAGGCTCTACATTTAGGCAAGAAAAACCAAATGCAGGGATACAGTATAGGAGTTACCTCACTCAATAGTAATAACTGTGAGAGGGATTTTGGAGTCCTAGTGTGCAATCACTTAAATATGAACCAACAGTGTGCTGCAGCTGCCAAAAAAGCCAACACAGTTCTAGGCTGCATTAACAGAGAGATAGAATCAAGACCACATGAAGGAATGATATCACTTTATAATGCTTAGTAAGACCACTCTTCGAATATTGCATACAGCTTCAGTCGCCACGATGTAAAAAAGATGTTAAGACTCTAGAAAGAGTGCAGAGAAGAGCAACAAGGGGACTGGAGGTTAAAATGGTTATATAAAGAACAGTTGCTGGAATTGGATTTGTCTAGTTGAATGAAAAGAAGGACTAGGGGTGACATGATAGCAGTGTTCCAATATCTCAGGGGTTGCAGCAAAGAAGAGAGAGTCAAGCTATTCTCCAAAGCATCTGAGGGCAGGACAAGAAGCAATGAATATAACTAATCAAGGAAAGAAGCAACCTAGAACTAAGAAGAAATTTCCTGACAGAACAATTAATCAGTGGAACAACTTGCCTCCAGAAGTTGTGAATGCTCTAACATGGAAGTTTTTAAGAAGAGATTGGACAACCATTTGTCTAAAATGGTGTAGGGTTTCCTGCCTAAGCAAGCGGTTGGACTAGAAGACTTCCAAAGTCCCTTCCAACTCTGCTATTCTAATTATAAAAATCACATGGGTATGATGTCAGAGAAGCTGGGATTTACCAAGGGTTTGTTGTCAATTTCTTTTTACTTCTACAAGCATGCCTCCTCCTGACTCCAGTCACCTCCAACTTCCCTCCTTGGCCATTTTGTTTTATGATGCTGGATTAACAGGACCCCAGAAAAGGTGCAGTACAAAACTATATCCAAGAAAACACCAAATATTAGGACCTTGAAGCACTTTATCTAGTGATTTTGAAAATACAACCACTACACAAAGTAGTTCTAATCTCTGTAAGTGAACAAGAAAGGTCCAGGTCTCTCCCTTCCTCTAATAATCTTGATCCTGCAATCCACAAGAAAAAGCAGTACATAAAGACTTGCCTCCTATTCAGAAAATATTATAGGGAGCAATTGGCAGATTTCTCCTCATCCTCTTCTTTGTCCTCCTTCCAGGAATTGTCCCACATCAACTTGCTTTTCAATAAACTGTTAGGATAGTACCCCTGACTGGCCTTGCTACAGTTGCAGAGAATAGAGAGAGTGCAAATTATGCTGGCATGCCCTGTGCAATCTCACAGCCTGGAGCACACCATTTTAAGTCAGCTGTCATGATATGCCCTACATGATTTTCTTAAGACTGAGCGAGATCTCCTGCTTTTCTGTGCCCCTTGAAATCACAGCACAAGTATGGGGAAAGAAACTCTTCTTTTCTTCTTCTTCATCTCTTAAGCTTTTATTTATTTATTTATTTTTGTCAATTGCTTACAAGATAATAGGTATAAGTAAAAACATAGTTATGAATACATGGATACATATAAAAAAAAAAAGAAACAATAGGACAGGGACGGTAGGCACGTTGGTGCGCTTATGCACGCCCCCTACAGACCTCTTAGGAAAGGGGTGAGGTCAATAGTAGGCAGTCTAAGGTTAAAGTTTTTGGGGTTTGGGGAAGAAACCACAGAGTCAGGTAGAGTATTCCAGACATTGACCACTCTGTTGCTGAAGTCGTATTTCCTGCAATCAAGTTTGGTGCAATTAACCTTGAGTTTTTATCTATTGTTTGTTCTTGTGTTGTTATGGTTGAAGCTGAAGTATTCATTGACAGGTAGGACATTTCAATGTATCATTTTATATACTATACTTAGATTGGACCGAAGGCGGCGTAGTTCTAGGTTTTCTAGGTCTAGAATTTCGAGTCTGGTGGCATAAGGTATTCTGCAACGAGTAGAGGAGTGGAGAACTCTTCTTGTGAAATATTTCTGGACTTTCTCAACGGTGTTAATATCAGATACGTAATGTGGGTTCCAGACTGATGAGATGTATTCTCAATACTCATTGGTCTAGCAAATGTTTTGCATGCTCTAGTTAGTAGTGTGATATTACCAGAGAAAAAGCTACGTAGGATTAGGTTAACAACTCTTAATGCCTTTTTGGCTATGTAGTTACAGTGGGCTCTACCACTTAGATCATTAGCTTAGATCACTTGCTTAGGCAAGTGTCCATCAAAAATAAGGTTCTAGGTCCAACTGTGCCTCACATAACTGTCAAATGCGTCTGATGAGAGGTTCATCTTCCCTGGCCGTACTGTTATAGTGAGCATAGCGAACTTCATTGATACTAATGTCCCATTCCCAATCAATGGAGATTCCACACGGTTTTGTGGCAGACAGAAAGGGCATCTGGTAATGTGAAAGACACTTCCAGCTAAGCCAAAAAAGGACTCCAGCGACACTAGCCTTCTGAAAGCTCGTTAGCCGCCTTGCTTCCAGTGCCAATGCCAGCCTCTGACACTTACCAATGCAGAGAGGATGCTGAGCATAAAAAGGCTTCTCAGCCACTGCCTCGTGGCACATAAACTGAAGAGGAGGGTAAGCGTTCTCTCCGATGTGCCACCCGCCCCACGCGAAATGCCTCTCTTCCCTTTCACCACCTGCTGCTAACGACTCTCCTGCCGCCTCGTGCCCTGGGGTGACAAAGCAGGCCGTGCTAATGAGGCAAAGGCGGGAAGCCGCCAGCGATTCCCGCACTAGAGGCCTCGTTTATCCCTCTTCTCTGCACCTGTTCTCTGGGATCGTCATCCTTTGCGTCCATGGGGTGGCCCCCGGGGAGCGCCAACTTCCAGAGAGCCCTGCGTTGCCAGCTCACCTCAGGAGCTGCCCGGCCTCGTCTGAGCTTTCCCACCCGCCCCCTGCCTACCCCCTCAGCTCTCAATGGGCCCTCGGTACACGCCCCCCGACCAGCACCGCTCCTCTGCGATCGATTTCGGAGTGGAAGAGCGCCGAGAAAAGGGGAGCGGCCGCAGGAAGATTAGGCGCTCGCTTCTCCAGGCAAGGAGTGGAAGCGCTTGTGCCTTCAGATGTGAAGGTGTCCCTAGGTGCCTTTGGCCTCCTCCGTTTAAGAGAGCTCTGCTCATACTCCTCCTCCTCCCTGTCTTTTTCGTTCCAGGCAGCCTCTCAACCAAGGCTCCTGGGAAGATCTGTTGAGATACCAGCCATAACTGCTCACATATTCCTGACCGCGAGTGGATCCTTTTCTTTATCCGCGAGGGAGCAAAATCCCCTTTCCTTCCAGGACAGACATCGCTCCCCTCCACATACATACGCACACACCACGCCTCTCCGCAAGCTAATAGCCGATCGGCAGGTTCCTCGATGCCCCCTCAGATTCCCCCCTTCCTGTTGCATGGGTGATTTCACCGTCTCCGAAGTACCGTAGCTCTTCCCGATTCCTCTCTTTCTCTTTCATACACACACACGCCCCCCCCCTTTCCGGGCGCCACGGCTACTCCGCGTGTATGTGTGCGCGCGCGTGTCTGTATGTATGGGGGAGAGAGATGAGGTCATCCTCTTTCCTGGCGTCAGTCAGCTGGGTGGCGGCGGCAGCAGCAGCAGCAGCAGCAGCAGCAGAGCTGAAGCAGAGGGGCGGGCCAGGCGGAGAAAAAGATGTGCCGGTGTAAGGACTGCTCAGCAAGCCGCTTCTGTCCGGGGCTGGGTGGGTGAGCTGGGCTCCCTGCAGGCAGGCGGCGCTCCAGCAGCGCCTGCAGGAGCCCGTGGCCCAGCCCCAGCCCCAGCAGGTCTTTGGGAAACCTAAGGAGGAGAGCGAATTGTCCGCTGAGGGAGGGAGGGGGCGGGCGGGCTAAAGGGTGCTCCCGGACTGGGTCCCTTTCGCTGCCGCCGCCGCCGCCGCCGCTTTCCATCCGCATCATGGCCGCGAAGTCGGACGGGGGGCGGCTGAAGATGAAGAAGGGCAGCGAGGTGGCGTTCACGCCACTGCAGAATTCGGAGCATTCCGGTTCGGTGCAGGCGCTGGCCTCGGGCTTTTCCTCCGGCGCGGAGGGCCCCGGCAGCGCCGAGGATGACGAGTCACCTGGCGGCGGCGGCTGCTGCAAGTCCGGCGGCGGGAGTCGAGGGGACGGCGGTGGAAACGGCGGGTGCCGCTGCTGCTGCTGCTGCGGCCGCCGCGGAGGCAGGGCGGCCGGGGACTCGCGGGGCTCAGGCGGAGGCTCGTCGTCGCTGTGCCTGCGGCTAGGCAGGGAGCAGCGCCGCTATTCCTTATGGGACGGACTCTGGATTCTGGCCGCCGTGGCCGTGTACTTTGCCGACGTGGGCACGGACCTCTGGCTGGCGGTCGACTACTATCTTCGAGGCCAGCGCTGGTGGTTTGGGCTCACACTTTTCTTCGTGCTGCTGGGTTCCCTCTCGGTGCAGGTCTTCAGCTTCCGCTGGTTTGTCCACGACTTCAGCAACGAGGATAGCGCCTCGGTGGCTCCTGCCTCCTCCTCCTCGGCCGGACACGGCGAAAGCAAACTGCTGGTGAGCAGCGGCTCGGCCGCGGGGGAGATGGATGCCGGGGCCCGGCCGGCCACGCCACAAAGGCAAGCCTCCAATGCCAGCAAGGGCAACGCAACTAACAGCAGTAACAGCAGCACCACCAATGCGACCAGCACTACCAGTGGAGGAGGGGGAGGTGACGGCTGCAACGGCATCCGAAGCCCCAAGACCAGATCTGCCTCCTGCGCCTTCTGCATCTGGCTGATGCAGTCTCTCATCCACATCCTGCAGCTTGGGCAGATTTGGAGGTAAGACACAAGTTCCTCAAACTAGCTTTTATGAAGTCCCTACACCTAGGCTTCAGCGAAGACACACTCGGGAGGGGGCTTCTGATGGGGGAGAAGTGTCCCAGGTGACTCAAAACTTACTATCTTCTAGCCACCTACAGGATCAAAGCCTAAAATAATTGATGACTTGAGAGATTGGAGTGTGGAGGGAGAGGGTCATGTGGCACAGCAAATCTCACTTTACTGTTAGGAGCTCATGCAATAGTGCATAAGTTGCAACTGTGTGTATCAGCCTGTAGTTTTTAATTGACATGAACTGACTTGCCAAGGCAGCTATTCCCTGTGAATGGTTATGTGTGCAGTCAGATAGAATGCACTATCAATGGAGTCACTTACAGCTGAAACACACAATGGAGAATTGCATTGTGTGAGATGCATCTCCTTGCTTTCTGAGATTGGTTGGTTTCAGTCTTACCTTAGCTTAAAGAGGCATAGATATCACCCCAGTGTCTTAAGAGAAAATGCAAAACTTGATGTTTGTTTTAGGAAGAACACATAGAAAACTCCAACATCTTTAGGAGATACCAGCTCATAGTGAAGTAGTGCTCTGAAGCAGAGTTTTAAGATACAGTTGTTATTCCTGAACATTTATGTGTGGTTAAAAGTAACATTGTAAATGGTTAAACAAATAGATTAAAAGCAGATGATTTTGAACTCCTGTCTTCTGTAAAAGTGTATACAAAATACTTAGAATAAGGAAGAACTAAAATTTGAAGCATTATAAAGTCTCCAAAACCTGAGTGTATATTGCATCCTAAAAATCCTGCACATGGATGGATTATTAGTTATTAGTTATTTTTATTCTTTACATAGAAACAGTAGTGGGTGTGAGTGTGGGTGTGTTTAGAGCATTATGACCTAAGATAAGTCTCAAATCTTTATTTTGTATTCAGCATGCCTCCTGTTAATATAATTCACATAGCACATTCTGTAACTATTTTATGCTTATTTAATAAGAATAGGAAACACATTTCTGAACAATTGTTAATGATATTGAAAACGGTTATTTCATCTAATATATTGGTAATTTATAAACCCACATAAAGAACTACATTAAAGATAACAAAAGATTGCTTTAATGTTGTTGATTTAGTTACCAAATATTCAATTAAACTTTCATTCTGGTATATTTAAAATAATATTTCTGAATAACTATACTAGCTAAAATGCTATCATTATATGCTGAATATAATTCAAAATATTCTTATTCTAAAAATAGACCTACATTTATTTGTATTATTCCTACCTATCTTAATAAAATATATTTTTATTAAGTTGGTCACACCCTTGTATTCACTCACACGAAGGAAGCATGGCCATTATCTGGGCTGTTGCTGTGTCCTGGCCTTGGGTGGGGATTGGAACTTGGGAGTCGTATAAGGTTTGAATGCATTAAACAGGTCAATGATGTACCAAGTAGGATTGTTAAGTGTATATTATAATATAAGACTAGGGCTTTCAGGCAAAATTGAGTGAAAAAGGAAGCACTTAAACTAAGATACAATATCTATGCTATATTAAAAAATTAGAAGATAGAATTATTGGTTTTTTATTAAGGTAAGAAATACATTATCTGGGTCAAATTTTGAGGCCTGCCAGCACTATTTATTTTTATTATAAGTAAGGATTTCATTATTTCTTACTCTTCATCCAGAAATATTAACAGGCACTCAGTGAATATTTAATGTGTGGAAAATGAAAAGAATTTTGTATGTACAGGAGTTATGTTAATTGTAAAATAACAATTCCCCCCCCCCCCGAGATGGTTATAAATGATTGTGTTGGTAAAAATGGCAAGCATCATAACTGTTGTGTGATGAAACAAAATTGTAATGTGTGACTAAGTTTCAAAAAGCATATATACATTGTTATAGACAAGTATTCTTATTAAGACAATTTATACTGGAGAAAATGATGGACAGTCAGTTATATGGAAAATTTAATCTTGCTGATAATTCTTTTGCAAATATAATTTCAGTAAAATTGAACTTTAAAAAAATTACTTCCAAGTATCTTTGCAGTGTTATAGCTTTAATTTATGAAATAATTTATTATTGCAGTACAAACGTTTAAATTTGATGGTGAAATTCTATCTGTCTGTCTGTCTGTCCGTCCGTCCATCCATCCATCCATCCATCCATCCATCATTTATCATCTATCATCTAATATCTTTCTATCTGTCACTAAAATGGAATTGGGATTATGTGTTCTTTAAGAGCTCTTTAAGATGAATTTTCCACAAGGCTTTAGTAATAGGATGAAAAAATAAGTGGAAACACTAAAACAAATTGGGGAAGGGTGAACATTAATAGGAATAGCAAATGAAAACTACAATTTCTCTGAAGTGTCTTCACTCAACTGTCCCATTTATTAACATTTCTTTTTGAGTTTAGAAGTTGGTAAGAAAATGGAAAAAAGTGCCCAATCACTACCAAGGTAGAAAATCTACAAGAATACTCTGTTATAATTGGTAAGTCATCAAGGGAAAGCAGGAAACACTTTACACAGGAAAATCACCAGAAGAATGAATAACTATCTAGTAATCTAGTCATCTTTGCAAAAGCCACCTTGCAACTCGTACAACTGAAAACACAGGGTGAAAGGAATGAAAGGGGAAATAAGGCTACATTACATATTTCTTCTTCCTCTTTTCTTCCATTGAAAATTACAGTTTGGGAGAACTTTATAAACTTCCCACATACAATATGTAATTGGTTTTAATTTTGTTAGTTTTTAAGTCATTTGATTATTTTTTTCTTGAATTAGCTACATTCATTTTTCTTTAATAAAAATGCCATTGCTGAAAATATTTAAATAAATGTTTAAATAATACATACATTATTATGGTTGATTGCACAACCAGACAGAAGTTTAGACTGGATTTTACATTTTTATCCACCTTTGCAGTCCTTATCAAAGACCTGGGATAAGCAAATGTTATTTAATGATGTTAAAATATCATTACAAGATGTAAGCTATTCAAGTAAAGCTGCCCTTTACAATTGAGTGGAAATTAATTTTGCTGATACTTATGGTATCCAGGTGGTGCTTCAGATATTTTGGGACTGCACCCAAGGCACCTTTTACTATTGGTACTATCTTTGCTTTCTTCATCCATAGTCATTCTACTTCTATTTACAGGTATTATTAATGAATAATATCTGTAAATAATGATAATAATTTATTGTCATTGTTTTTTCAATTCGTTGTCATTATTTCAATTATTTCAATTATAATATAATACTGTATCAAGCATTATATTATTCACAATTACATTTATAAACTTCTGATGTGAGAAGAAAAGTATTTTTACAGAAACCAGCCAACTTACAGCATGAATTATAATTATAGGAAAAGAATTCAACCAGAGTCGAAAGATCTTGTATTGTGTGAGCAGTACTTTCTTACAGCATTCCAGTTTGTGTGTGTTTTAGAAAGAATACAAGGATGAACATTTTTGCCATATATAATATAGCTGTGCAGTTAATATATATGCATATGAAGATAGTGAGTATAACAGAATAACAGAATAACTTCTGGAGGCAAGTTGTTCCATTGATTAATTGTTCTGCTTCTTGTCCTGCTTTCAGGTGCTTTGGAAAATAGGTTGAGCCATCTTCTCAGCCTATTAGATGTTTGAACACTGCTATATTTGAACACTGTCACCCCTAGTCCTTTTCTTCATTAATCTAGACATACACAATTCCTGCAAACTTTCTTCATATGTTTTAGCCTACAGTTCCCTAATCATCTTTGTTGATGTTTTCTGCACTCTTTCTAGAGTTTCAACATCTTTTTTATACTGTGGCAATCAAACCTGGATGTTTGTCTAAGTCACTTGGAATTTGATTATCTCGTATTATCCAATATATATTCTTAAAATGATTCCATGTAAAAATAAAATTAATTAATTAAAAATTTTAAAATAAAATATTTTCAAGATAATTAAACAATTCAATAAAATTTTAAATAAAATAATATTATAAAATATAGCAAAATTAAAATAAAAACATCAAATGCCTGAGAATCTTCTTTTAAAATGGGTTTCAGTTCATATTAAAAAGAGAATAAATAAGCACTTCTGGGAAATTCTAAGGGGAACTTAACTTTAGAAGTTCTATCTTAGTTTATCAACTTATTCCTAATGATAATGGGATCCAAACAACTGCCTCTGACTCAGACCTCTGGATATTTCTGAATTACTAGAATGTCTAGTTCTAAGAAATAAACCACTAATGTTGCTTGGGGTTAGGAAGTCAGTCATTAATTCCAAGTATTTGTAACACTTTTTATATTTCCAAATGGCATATTCACTCACATTATGCATCCTAGAATCTTTATAAAATAATTGCTTCCTTTGGCATCTTTGCTTTTTAAAAAAGCCTTTATATGTTTGTAAATTAATTGGAAGCAGCATAATTTTTATAATGGAAATAATTTTGCACAATTATTAATTTAGACATTTAGTAATGTCTAAATTAACTGTAAAGGCAAGTCCATGTTCCAATCTAGTAGGATCTCATTGTAGTTTGGTTGGTATTCCTGGGCAAGGTTAAAATCAGAGGGGCTGAATTCAGGTCGTAATTTGTGAGTATTCTAGTTGTAGTATTAGTATTACTCTACCTTAAGATAGACAAGTGGCCTGGCCTAAACCCCTTTCGCATCTAAGTTTGTCTGAGTTCTGATTTGTCTTCTCCTGGTTATTTCTGCTGCTGTATCATAAAATCTTCCTTCCTGTTTGGCATTTTTGTCTTTTGTTTCTTTTCAATTCCATGTTCCTGTTCCTTTCCACCCCTCTTTCCATCCTGATTTTCTCCATTCTCTCAAAACGTGAATTGCAATTACTGTAGCTTCAGGGGTGCAAGGATGTCTAAGAATGCTTAATGGGTGAAATATTGCTATATCAGCATTTCTGATAACAAAGAAGGAAGGAGGGAATTTAGAAAGTTTCCTTTTCTGCA